ACCTATAGAGGGGTGGGAACCTGTGACCTGTAGGCCACATGTGGCCCTCTAGGCCCTCAAAGGAAGTCCTTTGACTAAATCCACACTTCACAGAACAAGTCACCTTAATAAAAGGATTGTTCTGTAAAACTTGGACTCAATCAAAAGGACTTAGAAGGCCACAGGTTCCCCACCCAAGAATTACAATACCTGAAATACAGGCATTTTGTTGAAATTAATTTAATTAAATGTAATTAAAAGTTAGAGGTGAATCAAAATTCTCACCACTCTGGATACGGGATTAAATTCACAGCCTGACCCTACATATACAATATTGTAAAAGACAACACAGATTTCTTCAGTTATATTAAAACAAACTTTTGCACATATACAGGAAATAGAGGTGCAATAATAAAAGATACAAACTATTAATACATTTCTGCATAAAACATCTAACCAAAGTCCAAATGTAATAATTTACATGGAGTTCTCACAAAGCTATAAGATAATAGGCTGCTGGCACAGCTCCAGCCTTGGAGTCAGGAGGACCTGAGTTCACATCTGGCCTCAGACACTTGACACTTACTAGCTGTGTGACCCTGGGCAGAGAAACCCCCAATTGCCTCACCAAATAAATAAATAATTTTTTTAAAAGATAGAAAGGGCTATACTGCCCAATAAATATGTGGCCAACAGATACAAATAAAAAGTTCTCAAAAAAAAAGAAACAAAACTATCAACAACCATCTAAAAGGTGCTCAAACTTCCTAAGAGGAAAAGAAATACAGTTTAAAACAATTCTGGCTTTATTACTTAACATTCATCAAAATGGCAAAACTGCACAGATTTGTTGGTGAGGCTGTTGAAAAACAGGAACATTAATACACTCCTGGTTGAGCCTGAACTGGTCAAGTTGTTTTGGAAAACAATTAGGAATAATACAAGAAATTTTTCAAAGTTTTTCATATCCTTAAACTCAGTCATCCTGCTATGGAGATTTGTGCCTCGAGAAGATCACTAAAAGCAAGAAAATACCTATTTTTTATTCATAGCAATGCAACTTATAACAGCAAAAATGTGAAAACAAACACCATGCCCAGTGATTGGCAAAGGGATGAACAAATTATGGAAATATAATTGTAATGAAGTATTTCTATGGGTAAGAACAAAAAATATCTATCAATCAGTAAACATTCATTGAAAGCCTATTATGTGCCAGGCAATGGGCTAGACATTGCAGATACTAAGAAACATTCCTTACCCTCAAGACCTTGTATGAAGTAATGGAGAAGAACAAAGCAGGTCCAAGAAGAATATACATGATTGCTATATAATTGAAAATTAATTAAAACAATGCTGGTATGAACTTAAAAAGCACACACCAAGCTTTTCTTTTAAGAAAAGAGTAAGACTACATCTGTGTTGAAATCACTCTTTTACACCATTTTGCTTAATAATTTAGGGGGGAATTCATTTTGGGGTACAACAGGATTTTGTATATGTCAAAACAAAATTTATCAATTAACATAATTCATTTAAAAGATATATTATTAATTAGGAGAGATATGTGTGTATATACACACATCCACATAATACATTTTAGAATGGATTTTTATTCAAATCATTTAAAGTTAAAAAAAAGGTTTTGATAGTTAAAAGTTCTCAACATTCGACTTTCTAAACTAGCATTTTCCAAAGAGTCCAGATACCTGGTTTGTTTTTGTTTGTTTTCTACTTTTAAACCGTATCTCAAAACCATTCCATCATTTTTATGATGAGTTGTTTACCACCACAGGTGTGTGTATTCCATCTCATTTTATGATGACAGTGGCAATAACTAATTAGAATCATCTACTTGAAAATATAACATTGTTTTGACACTTGCAGTTAAGGAACCAAGAGTACAATCTCTATATTAATTCTAGTAAAGGGAGAATAAAACCACCATGGTTTCAGAACGATCTTCATGTACCATAAGAAAAGAGCCAAAGCAAATAGCGATAACTGAAAGCTATATAAAATAAAAACTTTAAAAACCTACACAAAATTAAAAATACTGAGAATTTATCTTGTTTTATAGCCCTCCCCAATGGATTTGTACCTCGTGGCTGCTTTCCTAACAATGTGGACGCCATAGAGCCAGTCTTGCCCAAAGAGTAGAATAGCAATCATAGAAGTATCACTAATGTGGAAAGAGAACATCCAAACCTCAAGCAGAAGTTAAACAGACATAGATGTTTGATAATAACTTGATGGCATACTCCATACAAATAATATAAGAAGCATACTTATGCTGCAGTCACATGACAGTCATGCTGGGTAATGCAAAAAAGGAACAACCACAATAAACGAATCCTTTTCCAAGAAACCTCTTCTTTCTGAATACTGACCAAACTCCCAGAAGTCTCTTTGAGGCCACACTGCCTCAACTATTATGTTGCTGACTCTTCCCCAGTCTGTCCCCAGGTTACAGTCCTGGCCCCACCAGTGGTCATACTCTGCTATGAAGCTAGGCAAGCTTCTATGCTGCAGTTTCTTCATCTCCTGCTACTCCCCAAATTAGGCACTCCATTTCTAATCTTTCTGCCTTTGCATAGGTGTCCCAGATGCTGCCCACATCATCTCTACCTAAAAGAATCCTACTTGAAAGCTCAATTCCCGAACTGCTTCCTAGAAGAAGCCTTTTCTGATCCCCTGGGTTGTTAGTACACATCCCTCAAATTATAGTGTACTGATTTATCTGTTAAATTGACATTTACCCAAATGGAACTTAAAAGACTTGAGGGCAGAGCGGTTTTTTCTTTCATTTTGTTTTTATATAACTAACTTTCTGCGTAGAGGAAATTTAAAAAATGCTTCTTGAATTAAAACTATAAAATGAGTATAATAATAGCTAATCTATTAGGTCCCTTCCAGAGCCGATACTCTATATACAAAGTATGTACACACAACAAAAAATCTACAAATTCTTTGAAAAGCCATTTTCAGATAATCATGTAAATCTTAATAGTACTTTCTAAAAGAAAATTTATTTTAACCAAAAGAATATATAGTTTTTACTTTAAAACTTTTCCCATTCCATATATACATTGAGCCAAGTCTTAGTGCTGTTAAGTTATAAAGCTTAAAACTGCACTAAGACTTTGGGGCACTTGGATAGATAGACACATGTGTATTTATATACATGTAAAAGCATGAGTATATGCATGTACACACATAGCCATACATACATATATTGAACCTGACCTATGACTTCATTAATAATAATAACAGTAACAATAATGATTATTAGCAATTTTACATGGTGCCTTAAAAATGTTATCTTGCTTTATCTTCAAAACAAAAAGGGAGGGAGGTACAATTATCAATCTCATTTTGCAGATGAGGAATCAGAGGCAGACACAGGTTATATGACTTGCCCAGGGGACTGGCCACATTTAGTAGATGTCTGAGGCTGCATTTAAATTCAAGTTATCCTGACTTCAGGACTCTAGCCACTGAGGTGTACTAAATTGATGCCCTTTTTATTAAAGCAGATCAGGAAACCATTCGACCTTTAGCCTTAAGCAGGTGGTTGGGGTACTGAGTTTACGTGACTTTGCTAGAATCATATAGCTAATATGTATTAAATGGAGAACGCGAAACAAGGCCCTCCTAACATTAAGGTAGGCTCTCTATTATCTACTTACAGCACATGGGGTCTTCTATTCCTTATTTTTAAAACTATTTTTTTGAACAGATGGATTTTCCTCCCCTGCTCTGACTGCCCAACCCCCAACAAAATTATTTTAAAAGCATTACCTTTTTCAAAGGGTTACTGGGAGGATCAATGAGGCAATCAATATAAAATAGCTTAATTTCAGAACACTACGTAAACATCCGCTAATATTGCTGTGAGGGATGATATCATTACACTGTGGGCAAATCTTAGTGTCACTTTATTCAACTGTGAAATGGACATAATAACTACATATTATATGGCTGCTGTGAGGACCAACTAAGAAGGTATGTAAAGTACTTAGTAAACTATGAGGGGACCTATAAACATCAATTACTACTATTATGGTTTTTACCATACAGATTACATAGTCTCCATTTCACCCAGCAGTTGGAGGAACACTTGAGTTTGGAGAAGGAAGTTTAGCTGAAGGAAGGATGTCATATTACTCCCTCCACATCTACTCTGTGTAGATATATTTGGGAAATTGTTTTATTCATGCACAGAGGATGACAAGACCCTACCTAACACTGGCTTCTTCTTCATTCTAGATATCTAAAATGGAAACAATCTATAATTTTATCAATGTAACCTTAAAGTCCATCTAAGTTACCTAGTAAGATTTTGAACTGCATTCGACAAAGCTCACTGGATTTTTTGAAAAAAGAATGTATTGCTGTCATTATCCTTTAGTTTCTCTTAACTATAGATTATGTTAAATCATCCATCAAGGAATGAATGCAATTTTCTCCTATCCTTCCATATCAACAATTTGTTTTATGAGCCCATGCTAATGATGAATTAAGGAATTTCCTCTGAAGGTTCCACAAGGGTGACTTACATTTTATTACTCAATAAACACAGTGATGCCTCTATCAGGAAACTTAATCCCCAGAATTTTACATAACTGTCACTTGAAACCAATATTTATGAATATGAGGGCAAAACAAGCCCTAACAAGCAAAAGTATGAGCTTTCACTAACTTTGTCATGCCCCAATTAAGAGATAAATTTAGATTTAGTCGCTGAAAGTTCTTTAAAATAAATCTTATGAATGAAGTCACATTTATTTAGTCAGTCATGTGCCTAGCTAGATGAGAAAAATGGTTTGTTTAGCCATTCTGTAAATCGATTTCCCCTTTAGGTTTTGGGTGCCACTCGACAGAATCATTTAATCAACCATTTGGCTTACTCTTTCAAAGTGACTACACATTTAGTTTTCAACTTAGTTCTAATATCTAAAAATGATTACTATTATGATGTGCAAAAACTTGCACCTTAAAGGAAAGAAATGAGGACTTACTTTCAGGCATATTATATGTTTTTGTCTTATTTTCTGACAGCTGGGAGCTTCTCCAGAAATTCTGAAGTCCATAGCCTTTAATGGTAGCAAGAGCACCAAGCTGAAGGTTTGCTGAAGTAACAAATCAAGATCAAAGAGGAGGAACATGACGACACGGCAGAAGATAAGGTGGCATTACTTACAACACGTAGAACCCAGATTTAAAACACTTACATTCACACATCATATCCATCAGGAAATGAAATTTGTCTCCATGTGGAAATTAGAGCAATCTCTGATTTAAGGGCTGACACAGTTTGTACATGCTTGACCTATTAATAAGTATCTTGAGGGGCAAGAACTACGTTGTTTTTTTGATCTTTAGATTTCATTATTAGATTTCAATTCACTTCAATTCAACAAACATTTACTAAGCACCTACTATGTACCAGACATTGGGCTGTACTAGCAATTCTCAGACTTTTAGGTTTCAGGACCCAATCTTAAAAATAACTGAGGACACCAAAGAGCTTTTGTTTATGTGAGATAAAATTATTGATACTTGCCATATTAGATGTTAAAACTGAAAATTCATTTTTAAAAATCTATTAATTCACTTAAAAATAACAAATTACTACATTATATTGACATAAAGAAGAGGTATACATTCTAATAGAGGAAAATAATACAAAAGAACATATGTAGAAAAGAAACAAAAACAGGGGACTACACAGTCTTTCTAATATGTTGTTGTAGCCTAGCTGCTCACAGTCTATTCAAAAATGTTGCTTCCATGTTTATTAGGGATATATTGGTCTGTAGATTTCTATCCCTTTATCGCTCCCTAGTTTAGGTATCAAGACCATATCTGTATTACATGAAGATGCTGCAGAATTTCAGAAGCAAAATTTAGTAAAGAAGACTACATTCTAATTATGATTGCAACAGTTAATGGCTGTTAGACAACTTACTTATGATACGACTATCCGTACAATGCTCTCATTTTCTACTTCCTGGCTGGTATAATTATACAAGAATGAGCAGATACACAATGGAAAAGGAAGAGAAGCAGCTCGCCATATAGTCGTCCAAATAGATGGAGCAATTATTGAAGAATTTCTTAGGCTAAGTGTTATAGAAAGGCCCAGGTACTGAGTAAGACTTTAGAAACCAGGAAAAGAAACCGAGGAAAATGATCATAAGGTGATTATTAAGTTTTAAAATTTATTTCAGCACATAAACTTCTACCATATCCAAACAACTGCTTCCTTATGCACAATAAGCCTAAGTGGCTAGCATAAACCTTTCATTGTGACAGAGCTGTGCTCTAAATACAGGTAGATTACATTTTCTGTGTTAAATTGAGGGGAGTAAAAAGCTCTCGGCGCTAAGAATGGGCCATTGGAAATGCCTTCTGATGAATCAGCAGCAAAGGAACATTCTGACTATGAGCAGATATCTTTAAAAGGCCAACTGAGGAGTGTGGAAGAAACAACAGAAGGCAGCAGTTACAAGAAAGAAGAAAAGCATGAAATAAGAGAAGGAACAGTGTAGAGAAAGATACCGGTGGCAATTAGCAGGTACAATGGATTGGCAAGATGATAAGTAAGAGCGCAGAAAGAAGACAGAAGGCATAAAACCAATGAGACTGACTTACACTGTCTTTAATGATATAATCTCTCCCTTAAAACGTGTGTGGGTAAGTGGGAGATATGAATAGGAACCAAAAGAAGGAATCAGTGCTACACCTGACGGCCTCTGATGTCTCACATTCAGGGCTGTGACTCGTATCACCAACATTGCTCTACAATGCATTCAAATAATCTTCCTTCACAATGACATTGCACTCACTAAGAAAAGACTAAAGCATGCTTAGTAATCCTTTATGGTGTTTCAGCCACAATCCATAAAAAAAGCAGGTAAAATAAAAAAAAAACTCATTAAACTCAAATACTAAACCATCACTACTTGGAATACCTGGTTGTAAAAAAAAAATAACAAAAAAACCAAGAATTGTGCTCTAAAAAGCTTCAATGTATACAAGTATTGACTCTGAATTCAATAAAGTACAAGGAGGATGAATGCTTTATAAACGGGTTTTACCATGATAAGTCATTTTTCTAAAGACCTTCGAATTTGAACTCTGCCCTATAAATGTATAGCATAATCACTTTTAAGCACGAGAAAGCAGTAGCCAATAACAGGTAATTCAAACAAAATACCTAAAAGGAAAACAAGTCTTCTCCCTTTAACAATTTTCCTTTGTCACATTAAAATCATAGAATTTTAAAATTGGTTGGGAGCTTACAAATTACTTAGTCCAACTCCTTCATTCTAAAGTTACAGAAATTGAGGACCAGATAAATTAAGTGCCTTGTTTAATATCACCTACATGAGGTAGGAGAATCATACTTGGAATTCAGCTATACTGATTCCTGGGCTAGTATTCCCATCTATTATATTCCTACTGCATCTGGGATCATCTCCAGTAATCCTGACCTATGTCCTACCACTGGATTCAGATGACCCTGGAGGAGGGAGTAAGGCTAATGACTTTGCACAGCCCTGCCTCACTTAAATCCAATTCACTAACAAGTCAAGACATCACCCTCCCAACGTCATTGCTCCTCTTGAGGATGAAGGACAAACAACAACTCTCATTCTAATTATTCCTATATCTTGAGTCTTTACCAGTATCTCTCTGTGGTCTACACAACTGGATGGCAGTGTAAAATAAGAAATACATAGATACTGGGATTTTATGATAGCTGGAAAATAGCAGAAGCCTATTATTTTGCTAAATTTATTTCTTGAAAATAAAAGACGCTTACAATTTTAAAATGTTATGTACACCAATAATAAGTTTTACATAGGTCTTAGGACTACTTATGACAAATAATCTCATGCCTGATAAAAATTTAAGTAGATTCCAGTAAATAGTTTTTCTACATTTCAAGAATTATCATGAATACTACTATAAAGAAACTCTCACACACCAATCAATTCATACAGACATTGGAATAATAAAGAAAAAGAAATGTGGCTTATTAATGAGAGAGTCAATGAAGCAGGGCACATGAAGATTCATTTGTGGGCAGCATAAAATGTGATATACTATATAAGAAGATGAAGGCTACTGTCATGCCTCTGGCAATTCTGCATATTCTAAAGTTCACTCTTTCACCTCTCCATGCAACTATCTAATGACCAAAATAATATATAAGTTTGCTTGGGATATTTTTTTTAAAACTTTTTCAATGAATGCTTGATTTGCTCAAAAAAAAACCTGTTTTGTAAAAATGTATATAAATCATTTTTGAAACCTGTATTTCTTAGTTTTTTTCTAATAAAAACAAATAATACCTGGCTGGTATAGCAAATAGAGGTCTCAAGTCAGGAATACTTGAGTTCAAATGTGATCTCAGACACTTACTAGCTGTATGACTTGGGCAAATCACTTATCTTCTATTTGCCTCAGTTTCCTCATCCATAAATGGGGATAATAATATCACCTACTACCCAGGGCTGCTGTAAATATTAAATGACTGAATCACTGCAAGATACTTAGCACATGGCCTGGCATATAGCAAGCTCTATATAAATGTTAATGGTTATTAGCTATTATTATTTTTGAAACCTTTATTTCTTAGTTGTGATTTTTTTTCTCTAATTGAAAAAAAAAAATCACGTAGTGGAAAGAGTCCCAAATTAGTCATCAAAGAAGATGGACTTGAATCCAGGTTCTGTAATCCATAATCTATGTAAACTTGAAAAAGTCACAAACTCTTTGGGTTTCAATCTCCTCATTTCTATAAAATAAAGGATCAGGCTATATAGCATGTAAGGGCCACTCAACACTAAATCCTGTAACCATGAATATGACTTGAAAAGAAACTAGATTACTCCAATTTTATAAAAATTTCTTTTCTCTTAAGTTCATCCTCAACTTAACAGTCTCAACATAACTATTCCAAATTTCCCAAAGAATTTCCCATAGAGAAGATACAACATAAAAAATGTTAATGTAAAAAACGTTTGATAAGAAAAGTAAAATTACTGAAGAATTAATTTTAGGTCAGTATTACCAACAGAATGCTAAGATATGAAGATTTTTACATATGACAAATAAAACAATCAATGAGGCAAAATTCCAAAATGTACAAAAAATTCATTGTAATACTTGATGGTCTTGTTTAACAAATCTCAGTTTCAGTGGTTAGGAGACATAATAAAAATGACAGATACAATTAACTGAATATGTAAATAAATTTTAAATATAGTTATGTCATTAAACCACAAATGATTATTTTTAACCTGCTTCTGGTAGACAATTTAGGCATGAAATAACAGAGATCAAAAACTTTAACTGAGTAGAATTGAAAAAGGAAAATCCATCAAGTAAACATTTGTTACACACATTTACCTGAAGCAGCTAAGGGACGTATTGTATAGAACGCTAGATGGGAAGTCAAGAAGACCTGAGTTTAAATCCTGTCTCACACGCTTACTATGTGACCTCCAGCAAGTCACTTAACTTGTCTTAGCTTCAGTCTTCTCAACCATAAAATTGGAATAATAATGACACCTACCTCCCAAGGTTGTGGTAAGGATCAAAAGAAACTACATGTAAAATACTTTGAAAACTTTAAACGCTTTATCTATGCTAGCTATCATTACTGTTATTATTAGTAGTACATGCACTTCAAATCTCAAATGGAATGAAATTCCAGTACAGTAATTCAATAATATTCCCAAAGAAATGGACAAAAAACCAATATTTTTTTTAAAAAAGAACTTCAAATCTAGTTGTATATTTATATATCGATAGATCTGAGATCACAACTGTATAGAAATTTTATAAGACAATCACAGAGAGAGGAGCTCAGAAGCCAACTATGTCAAAATAGAACAATCCTCTCTACACCATCTAACAAGTTGTCATCCTTGGCCTGACTCAGTGCCTCCCAAAGCAGACCATTCTACCTTTGAATATTCAGTCTTACATGAAGTATACTACTCTTTCTGAAATTCCCAAGCAGTACACTTTTATTATATTCTGAGGTCAAGCAGCATAAATCTAATCCTTCTTTTTTTTTTTTTTGCATGACAGCCCTTTGAATACATGAAAAGTA